ACATCTTTAGTACAAGAATAGGAGACTAGGCTTTCTGAGGGTCTTCAGAATTATTTCACAGAGGTTCATTAAACACATGAATGCAGAATCTAAGCATACATTTTTTTTATCTCAGTTTGAGGGTTTTTTTTTTTTTTTTTTTTTTTTAGCAGATATGAACACCACACAGAGACAGAGCAGGAAGACTCCACTGAAGAGGAGACACACGGCAACTAAGTAAACAATTCACCAGAAACCTGTAGGGTTACCCGTCGCTTCCCGAAGCATCAGACATTTCCCCGTCACCCAATGCAAAGGCACCATACAATAGTTGCATTGATTATCTTCACACGTCCAGGACAGTACAACTCACAACAATAATTATTTCTCAAAAATACAACTTCCATCCTAATCCCAAAATAAACTCTTTCTCTGGATACATAAAATAACACGCGTTTTCAATGAAAGCAACATTGACACTACTGGGCTGACTGACATAAATCATATTAATGGAAAATCTTAAAATATATAGGCATACTTCCAATCTTGAGGTTTATAAACATCCCACCTTGACATAATGAGAACTTGCTTAAAATAGAAGTAAAATTGAATTTGGCAAAGCCTTTATTCAACTAGCACTCTGAAGAGATTATTTCTCAGATCTGAATTTTCTAATAGAATATAACAAATTCACACAAATGTCACTGAAGATAGAATGAATGTTTTTTCATGCCAGTGTCACTCACCCTTGCCTGCCTGTACCCCCTCCCCCAAGGCTTTTCAAAATGTATTTCATACACAGAGTCACTGTTCTGGTTGTTTATTTAATTAACATGACAGCCCAGCATACACAGCATTTCTTTCAGTTCTACAGCTTTAACTTTTTACACTTTCAACTCCATACAGAAAGAGTAAAATTACTGTTTTCACTCCTTCCAGCCTCTGTAAATTTATATAGATTCACTGACTATTTATGTCACTTTAAAAAGTTTTTCACTATGCTTTAAATATCTGTATTCACAAAGTAAAATCACAATTTTTGTCCCCCCTCACAAAAAAAAATTCTCTTCCTTCACCTTTCCAAAGGGATAAAGAAATCTTGTTTTCCTTTTTCAGTATTTTCAGAAGTTGACATTAATCAATTTTAATTCTGTCACCAAGTCATAAGTAATCTATACTGCTCTTTGAATCACCATAAACTGAGTAACACTGCTGAAATATAGAAGCTACAATTTAATTGAAAGTCCATGATTATTTCTGAAACTTACCTAATTTGAGCTATATGTTATACTGAAAGACATTTTGGATTTAAACAATGTATTCTACCTTTTGAGAATAAGCAAGTTTTTGGTCAAAGAATAACAATGCCTCCCATCCATTGCCAACCATCAAACACCATACCAATGTCTCCTATTTTTGCTTTGCTGCTATTTGCCTTTTTACTTAAGTTTCTAACATCAGTAATAAAAAACTTGACTCTTCTTTTGATAACTAATTTTAGTTTTTAATTACATAATAGAAAGTATATATCTACACATTTCTGGATGATGTTCTATCTATAACAAAAAAATTTATTAAGTGGCACAAATGCATTAATGGAAACAGTCATATGCCTTGTGTTTATCTGAAACCGCAATTCAACATACTAAATTTTTCTTGACAGGTAACTAAAATAAAATTACATTGGTTTGAAATCTTTCAAAAGTGAATGTGTAAGGTGGTCTCAGTAATTAGAGAGGAATGAGTAGCCAGTTATATCTCTTTATTTACCAAGAGAATGGAGAGATACCCCTTCAAATACAATTTCCAAAAGCAAAAAAAAAAAAAGGAAAGAAAAAGAAAAACTAAAATTTTACATTGAAAAATAACATACTAATCATGCATAATATCTAATAGTCCAAGAAAGTCTAGGTACATCTGTATATTCCCATGTTTGGGGCTGAGGTAATTTGAGAGAGACATATCTGCTCTGGGATGTGAAAGTCCACTTAGAAAAGATACGCACACCTTAACAGACACTTGCCTTCTTAACACTGGCAGCCAGAAAAGTAGTTTGACACACTCATCTACAAAATCAGCCTCAGTACTGCGGACACTGGGTTGTCAGGACTAAACTAAATGCCAAACAAACTTTATAGTTCTTTAAAGCTTAAAGAACTATAAACTTTCTTCTTTCCTGAGAATAAAGATATTTTCACTTGCATTCAGAGACACCAGTGCTATAGACTTAGAGTTCTTAAAAGGAAAAAAGGGAGAGAGAGAGAAACATGTATCTGTCAGTTGGTTTCTCTTATGAGAATTTTATCATATATTCTCTTTGCATTTTTAGAACTGAGGGTCACTGAAGAGGGATAGTTCATAAGTAACCAGCCACTGCCATTCATACAGAGAAGAAAATGATGAAATTCTCTCACCTGTAAACCTCACAATGAGCAAAGTGCAAATAAATTGTCAAGAGGACTCTGACAGACTGCTTTCAAGTTCTGAAATGACTACTTAAAATTCACTTGTTGCCTAATGAGTACTGTCTTGAGTCAAAAGTAGACATTTCTTCAGAAAAAAAGCTGACTGACATTCAGGTGAGTGTTACCTACTTATTTTATACTTATTTTGATTTTTAACTTCACAAAGTATGCAAATGACAGTGGTACACTTTGCACCCTTAATCAGAAGTTTGTTTCCTTATGATAAAACAGATAAGCCATTTACTATGTAGCTCCTGAACTTTTCACACAGTAAGGTTAACGTATATGAGATGCTGTCCTATCTTGTAAGATAGTGCTCTATGTTAGTTTCCACCCACTCTCCACAATTATGCTCAGCAACAACTTTTAATGGGTCATATGTAAAAACTAGTCTTCAGTGACACACACACACACTCACCCACTCACCCACTCACCCATGGCCTCATTAAAACTTCAAGTATCTCAATATCTGCTAAATGTATTCTTGTTTTTCTACCAACCATAAGACATAAAGTTTCTCACTTTAGAATAATCTTCCCTAATACAGCCTTCAAAAAAAAAAACAGTGACCAAAGAAAATTACAGAAATAGATTGCAATTATGCATTTTCCAACAGCATTAATCAGCAAAACATTAAATATGTAATGCTTATTTTCATAACTTTGCAGATAATTCCAATTCTCCATTTATCAATTTAAACCAGAGAAAACCAATAAAAATGTGTGGGTTAATTAACGCTGCCAGTTAATTCACCTAACCACCTTCTTCGCTTAAAGCCACTTTAATTTCTTATGAATGTTAACATAACATTAAAAAAATTAATTTCACAGGGTAAATGATATCAATTTGGAATCAATTTATTTGTGATTAAGTCCCACGTTTTCCTTAGAAATTATGGTTGTGAATTTTGCAATAGTCACATTTCCCTATAAGTTAATGAATAGTGTATTCTGAACATACTTAAAGCTGTGGTGTTTTCATTTAAAAGACATTCTCTCCCATAACTGTGAAAAGAAATCAAAATGGTTAATTTACCCTCAAAGAGATAACTTACTTTATTATAATGATTTCCAATTTTATACCAAAACTAAATATCAGTCAGTGGCCCGTTTTCTCCTCCACTTAGAGTAAGCTTAAACCCAAGAAACATTTGTTTTATCTAAACAAAAGTAAATAACTACATTTGCTTTAAAATAAAGACTATGATGCTGTCATCTACTCTGCTAAATAATGTCAAACAACCATAGATCTGTGTAATCGACTCCATTTCAGAAACAAACTAGCCACCCACACCAGGTAGTGACTGCTATATCTTAGAAATACCCAAATGATTATCCACAGAATAACCCTAAAAGAAAAAGCCTACTTTGTCTTAGGATATTCTCTTGCTCCCTAAAGTTGTTCTAACAGTACCATAGGTAGGCATAAATTTAATGGGAAAAGTGTAAATTTCCACTGCTGTATCCAACCAGCTCCTCCTCCCCATTAAGTGTCAAATCCACTTCAACTAGAGAGGTGAAGAAATCTGCTTCAAATAGAGAGGCATACGCTTCAGTATGCCTTTTCAGCTACAGTATGCATTAAAAATTGGGATTTGTTCTTTTATGCCCTTTATAGCAACTATTTCATCATTTTAAATCATTTAATGATAATAAGGAGACTCATCCCCAGGACTGACTGAAGTTTTATTTACAACTTCACTTAAAATCCCAGGTTTCTCCTCCTCCCAAGTTGTGGGAAGATATACATCTCCAGCAATCTTAGAAATGGTCTCCCAAATTAGTATTTTCTGTAAAATCTGCATAAATCCATTTGAATTTATAAATATCCACTTAAGTATGCACATACTAAACAGAACTGTTTTGTTTTTATTTGACACTAAAGCGCAGTTGACAATTTTGAACAATTCCAAAGTTCAGACATATTATTCCCCAAGCTGAAGTTTGTGATACAAAACACACTAGCATGTAATAATATATGCCCCTAAATTATATTTAAAAACAAATTGGGCACCATCAGCTGAAGTCTCTCCAAATAAAACTTACTGCAAAACCAGAAAGTATCAATTCCTCACCTTCAAGCATAGCTTGCTTTGCTCTAAAATCTTTTTACTGGTTTTCATAAATACTTAATATCATTTCATTAAAAAGACATTTTACTTTTTAAAAAGTAGAAGTCTAGTAAAATCACTCACTGCTAAAAAACTAAACTTAATTCTAAAATTTCTGCTAAGGAAGGAAAGGGTGAGAGTACTTTAAAAAGCAGGCGAGCCATACACCAGGTGTAGCAGATCTAAAAATTTGGCTCAGCTGTGGAAAACCCTACAAATGCCATCTAGTTTTATTACTCAGTCGTGTTTCGGTTGTTCAGGTTATAAAACTACTATGTGAAAGAGAGGGAAAAATACCTGCCAATTTCTTATCAATTCTGAAGTTAGACCACTTTTCTAGGCTATCTTCCCTTTAGTTCCCAGCGCTCGGATTCTCTCCACTCTGCGCGGATTCCCAAGTGTTTCAAGTTTCCTCCAGAGCCGAGAGAGGAGTTGACAGTGCTTACCTGTTCCCTCGGTATACAGGGCAGGGAGGTTCTCCGATGGGACTTGCTGCTGCAGCCGGACATCTCCGTGGACACGACGGAGCTGGACCGCCTCCTCCTCTTAAACACCGGGATATCTTCCCTGGTCCCAGCAATCAGCTGGGACCCCAAATGCTCCCTTGGAGCCGCCTCCGCGGACTGCGGCAAGATTTGTTCCGCGTACCTGGCCAGGAGGATCCCCAGCAAGCCGGCTAAGTACGCCAGGTAAGGTCTCCAGGCGACCTTGAACCTCTCCAAGGAAATGAGGGACACGGTCCTGACCGCGCTAGTCAAGGCGATCATGAGGACGCCCAGCCTCAGCCTCAGCACCAGCCATGTCGCGGCGGCCAAGCAGCTGAGCACCACCCCCGCGGCGGGGAGCGAGAGTAAGTGATCCTCCCCGACGCCCAGCCCAATCTGGACGAGCGCTTCCCCCCCGCAGCAGGCGGCCAGCAGCGCTACGGCCAGAGGCAGGCGCACCCCGGCGCGCAGGAGGTACAAGCCCATCCAGAAGAAGGCACACAGGAGACTGAAGAGCAGCGCCGAGGGCTGCAGCCAGGGGCTGAGCCGCGCGCCGCCCCCGGGAGCACCTCCCCGAGGCCGCGGGAAGACGCCCCCTTCTGCTCCCGGGGCTGCTTCCTCCTCCTCCTCCGCCGCCGCCTCCTTACATTGCTCTAGGTCACAGCCGACCTCCGCGCGGACCAGCCTCACCAGCAGCGCCAGCAGAAAGGACAGGGAGCCCGCGCACAGCGCGGAGGAAAGTTTCCGAGAGCGCCGGAGCGGCTGCAGCACTAGGTCTCCCCAGCAGCCACGGCAGCCCGAGTCGCGCGGCGATGCGGGGTCCGCACGACGGTGGCAGTCCCGGCCCGCCTTCGGGGCTTGGCTCACCCCACTGTAGACGGGCTTGTCCCTGACTCGTGCTGCGTCGCCGGGCACTGCCATGGTACGGTGCCCTCTTCACGAATCACCAGTGGTCCCCCAACACCCCCGCCCCGACCCACACGCGCGCGCGCGCACACACTCACACACACAGATACACCGCACTGTCTCCCAGTTCTACTCTCGGAATCCTTCTTTTCCTCAGGCCCACAATCCACTGAAAGTTTCAGCTTTCGAATAACTCCTGGAGAATGCTAGATGCTCCAGTGAGACTTCAAGTTAAAAGCTAGCACGCTCAAGTTCAAAGCAAGCACGGGCAGAAACGATCAGGATTCCCCTTTTCTCTCTTTGAATATCTTTTACAGATTCTCGGCTCCACCCCCACCCCCAACTTATGTCCTCCGGGGTCTCTTCCTACTTCAGGATTTCAAAAATTGCCCAATGCATCCCGCGCGCAGGAGCCGCTGACGCTGGAGGAGCCGGGGGCGCAGGGCGGGCTCCGGGCCATTCCGAGGCGCAGCTCCGCGCCGCCAGGCAGCGCGCCGAGCCCGCGGCAGATGGAGGTCTCCCTTCTCTTCCTTCCTGCAGCTCTTTTTCTATCACTCTTTCTTTCTCCTCGGCCGATTCTCCCCGGCACGGCCCCAGGACGCGAATCGCCATTCCCTGGGGCAGAAAGCAAAGCCTCCCCCGCCTCTGTCAATCCAATTCATGGCAAAGGATAGAAAAAAAGAAAATGGAAAAGGGGCTGAGAAATTAGAAGTTGCTAAGTCCCGTCGGAGAGAGAGAGACGGAGAGACTAGCAGCAGCCGCAGAAGGGAGGGAGGGAGAAGGAGCGAGCAAGAAAGGAAGGGAGGGTGAGAGGAAAGGGAGGGTGAAAAGGGAGAAGGAAATTTGCTTTTCTTTTTCTAACCCCCCCCCCGCCCCCCGCCCCCCGCCAACCACCACTTCTTTTTGGTGCAAAGTTGGTGGTGATTTGCAGTTTTGCAAACGAAACGAGTGGAGACGACTGCTTAAAATTGTATAAAACTGGCAGCTGGAGTGATCGACAATTCCGCTTTCTTTCTTTAAGGCAACTCCCTAGGAAAGCTTTCTCAGCTGAGCTCCCGCCCCCTCCTCCGGAGGAGGCGCTACCCTCAGCACGATTGCTCCTTTGTGGGGAGAGCGGCCGGTTCACCCTACAGGCTGGAACAGGGGCTGCTGAGGCCGGTCCACCGCTCAGCCCACCGCAGCCCAGGGATGTGCGGGGGACTGTGGCTGGCCGTGAGGCTGAGCTCCCTAGGACGTTGGAGGGAAAACAAACAAACAAAAACAAGATTGTGTTTGGCTATTTGGCAGATGAGAGCCAACATACTTTCTACTGTCACTGACAATGACAGCCACTTCCACTATCTGATTCAAAGATGTTCACAGGTTCCCAAGTCAGGTACAACAGTAATCCAATTTCAGGTGACACTGTAATGCTTTGGTTGCTCCTGCTGGAGTGTCTGTTTTCATAAGAGAACCAAAGCATGGCCTGTTGGTTCAAATGATGAAAGAATCCGCCTTACCTAGACCACAAGAGCATAAAGAGAAGGGAGGGAGAGGCAGAAGTCATTTAAATTCAATATGTGAGTATTACACAACAGTTTTTGACTGTGGAAGGTAAAATTACATTGAGTTTAAGTGACCGTACCCTCAATAAAGGTTAACAAAGTTTGAAAGCCCAGATAGTTCATCGAAAAATAAATATCTCAAGGGAGCGGTGAGGACAGGTGGGTAACACTAGGAGAGACCTTAGAAGACTGCCTATGACTGCAAAATAGTACATTTACAAGAAAAGCATATGACAAATATCAGGACCCTAATGAGTAGGGGTTCATTTACTGCAGCAGTATGATATTTCAGAAACTAACAAAAATGTTCAAGCTGACTTTTTTTTGGCAGTTATGAAAAAGAATTCAATATCTATTCAATGACTTAAACTCTATTGATTGCCTTCGGATCTAGTTGTCTTTTTAAAACTAAAACAAGAATATGATACTCCACTTTTAAAATGGCTATCTTAGATGTCATTTGCCCTCACTAATAATAATCTTAATAATAATCCAATTTTGTCTTAATTATGTTGACATTTCAGGTTAAAGTGTATTTACAGCCTAGAGCATTTAGATAATTGATTCAATATGCCACTGTATTTTGTATGTAGGCATGAAGCAATAAAAAAGCCAAAGGGAGATCCTTGAGATAATTTATGGGGACAGTGGGAGAAAATGGTTTAAGTTTTAAACAGCTTCATGGGAAGCAGCCTGCTCTAGTAAGAGGCAGGTATCAATATCATGACATAAGTAGATATGAGGAACTGTAATGGTACAGCTTCTCTCTGTCAGATGTCCAGAACTGTGCTACCACACAGGAGTATGAGTTGGGCAGCTAGTCAATGGCAGTGGGCACCATCTGTTTAATAATTAAGGAAACAGGAGCAGCAACGTCTTTGCCAAAGACAAATGAGCCCCCTAGCATGCGCACATACTTTCATGAGTTTAGTTTTTAGACATATGATTCATATGCCAGATCCTACCTGAGACACATTGGAGTGAAAAACCTTGATTGGAAAATCATTCATATCTGTTGGAATCAAAAAGAACATTAAATTAATAAACTGTAAAAGCCTGGCATATATCGAGGTTAGAAAAAAAAACAGCATAGTAAGGGAAATTTTTGAATATTTCAATTTTATCTGTCCCCTACCCCCACAATGATCTCAGCTCTTACAGTAACATCTGGCACTATTCAATAAAATAAGGAGGCAATGTCCTGGCATCCAGGTTTCTTTAGGAAATCATAATCAAAAAGTTATGTATCCCACCAAAAGGAAAGAAAGTAAAATTTTCTCCCCATATTATCCAGAACCCAGAAGCAAGTGAACAAAGACAATAAAAGTCTCTTTAATGTTAGAGAGATGCAGAAACCTGCAGGGCTATACTAACTGAAAGAAGTGACTAATAATGTACATTTAACAGTATGTTAAATGAAATACATAAGCTGCAATACATAAACTGGACAGGGTGCAATCACATATAAACACTGCCCATTTTCTACAGATAGTGGTGAGTCCTAATTCAAGAAAGTGACAACACAGCCAAAGAATAAGGAAAATGTACATGTAGAAAAATAATAGAGCATGGACAACAGAAATAAAAATGTAAATTTTACTTGATAAATCTTCCACTTAGCCAAATCTAGCCAGCATTTTTTTATTAGTTTTTTGGGAAGAGGATCTAACCCTATCACATTTGAGCTTTATTAAATATAGTTAATCGTCAGGGAATTCTATTGCAAAACTCAGAAAGTTTATGCTTCATAGTATGGGTTCAATCAATGGGTTTAATTCTCTGCTACCTATTTGATTGTTATATATTTATATCCAATAGTTACCTAAAATATAGGGTGTCCAAAACAAAATCCTTAACTTACAATTCCCTTCCTCCCCGTCCTCAACCGACCAAACTATTTTTCTTCAATCTTGTTACATTCCAGTAAAGAACATAACCATCTACCTAGTTGCTCAGGCCCCAGAAAAGGGAACTGCTCTTGATTCTTTCCTTTGTTTATCTTGCTTTACTTGTAGCCTATTAGGAAATCCACTTTATCCTGTTTCTAAAATATATTCTAAATCCATTTACTTTTCACTGTCTCTCTTATAATAACCTACCAAAGACCCACCATCTTCCTTGGACAGGCCAACTGCAGTAACTAACTGATCTTGCCCTACTTATAATTCATTTTCTATATAGCAGAGTAATATTTTAAAAATATAAATTGAATGATGCCCCTCCACTACTTAAAACTATCCAAAGGCTCCCCATTGCGCTTGCAGAATCCAGTCCTCATCACGATAGTCCTACAAGGACCTTCATGATCTTTCCAAGTCACTCTCTCTGACCTCTCCTCCTATTCCAATGCTGCTACATCACTGGTGACGCACTATTTATTAGAACTTGCTTCAATGACAAACAGGCCCTCTGCTGTTCAGTATGGTAGCCACTAACCACATGTGGCCATTGAATACTTGAACCATGAGCTGAACTTTTGTATTTTATTTTATTCTAATTTAAATTTAAATTTTAATACATTCACTTGGCTAGTGTCCACAGTAATGGAGAATGCACCTCTTATACCTCAAGCCACCTTTGTTTTCTTCATGCTGGTGAAATAGGAAACCTGTTCAGGACCTTGGTATCCAGAGATTTTCACATAGCTGCCCACTTCTACTCCACCAAGTCTAATCTCAAATGTTACTTTATTTTAAAAAGGCTTTTTTTCCCAACAATCTTATCAAAAACTTTTGGGTCACCCCATGTGCACGTAAACACTTTCTTTCACTATCACATTACCCTGTTTCATTGTATTTATAGCACTTATCACTATACAAAACGGTCTTGTTCATTTATTTGTTTTCTCACTTATCATTTATCTCTGTTTACTAGGGTGTTACTGCCATGTGAACAAGGACCATGAATGTCTGTCCTATTTGCTGTGTACCTCCAATTACCAAAATAGTCCCTAGCACATGGTAGAAGCTTGTCTTAGTCTGTTTACTGTTGCTATGAAAGAATACCTGAGATTGGGTAGTGCGTCATTTGGTGATTTCATCATGTGAACATCCCAGGGTATACTTACACAAACCAGACGTGTCAACTATTACACACCTCAGTTATATGGTATAGCCTATTGCCCCTAGGCTACAAACCTATACAGCATGCTACTGTACTAAATGCTGTAGGCATTCATAACACAATGGTGAATATTCGTGTATCTAAACATAGAAAAGGCACAAAGCACCATATTATAATCCTGTGGCACCACTGTGGTATACATTTGTCATTGACCAAAACATTGTTAGCAGCGCATACCTATATCACTACTTAAATTACTCATCTATTAGAGAAATAGGTAATTGTCAAAGTTTTGAAAACTTTGTATTGATTACATGATGAAATGTCTATAATCCATAGTGGTTTTCTGGTAGGCTTAGGGATAAAACAGTGTAAATATGCATTTCGGTAATGAGTAAGCTGAGCAATCCAGAATTAGGAGATGCCTGAATATGAGTGACTAAGATGTCATAGCTCACATCATGATTTGTGACATAGTCTCCAACTATGTCAATTAACAACAATGGGGGTTAAGATTTTAAAAAGTAAACATTTTGCCAAGGTAGACCTTATTAATACTTATTATTTCACATATAGTCAGGGAAAAAAATGCAGAAACCTTGCATTTTTAGATGCATCATCTGTCTTTTTTTTTTAATGCTGCCACTCAAAATGCAGTGCCTGCCCAATAAATTGCTGATAAACAGCCAAAGGCTGAGCTCCCATTGACTTCACGAGTAAGTACTTCAGGTTTACAGCTGCTACTTATGTGCAGGCCATTCTAAAATGTTAGAAATTAAGCATGACTTGCATTTTTAAACCAGAGTGTACTATTGAGAAAAACTGTGAGGGT